TTCTATTATGATAAAATATGTAACTATTCGTCATGTTCAACCAGAGCTATAAGCATCAATCTTTGGGAAACACTGATTAGACAATACTTTGTCTAGAGAAAAATAAGCATCAAGACTGCACAGAATCATTCCTTACTATTTTCATTTTTGTCAAGAAGTTCAAAGCTTGATTCCGTGGAAACCCTGAAATCCTTCTGAATTTTCATCTGAGAAGCACTAAAAATACACTGGTAATTTCTTACATTTTCTCTATTGAACAGATGAATGAAAATGATTCTGTTCAAATTAGCCAACTAATTTGGTTATTATCAGGAAATTATAATCTTCAGAAAAGTATACAAAAACAACTTAATTTCCAAATAGCAGTAGAGCATACTATTAAGTCTAGTCTTGAAATCAAGTTTCCACAAGCAGAAAATATTCTTTACTCACCAAATTCAGGACAACATTCATTCTCCAATGAATTCAATAACCTTTCAAGGGAAAAAAAATAAGTAAAAAGGAAAATGTGAGTTCTTTTTTAGGAATGAGCTGAAACACATTTTGCAAATTAATGAGTGTAAAGTAGGAGGGAACACACCTGGTTACACTTGAAAGTTATCAAAATGCCTCCATTTAGCATATTTCACTTAAAAATATCCACAGTATGTTTAGATTCCTCTAATTACTGCAAGCAAGTTCAAAGTTTTTATGTGCTTGATGAGAGTATATCAGACTAGAACATCAAAACAACCTTGGAGGTTCTCTATTTTTTTATTATTTCTTCCTCACATAACTTTGTCTTGTAACAATAGTTTTCCATTTGGAGTTCCCCATTCTCTATGAAGAATATTTTAATTTGTGCTTTTATTTAGATGGTTTATAATATATGCACCTTCCAGATCACATGAATATCAATCTTATAATCAAATATTTCTATACAATTTCAATGGTTCCTATTTGTACTTGAATGTTTTCCTTATTCAGAAGGGAATTTTGTGGCTATTTTTAAATGATTTTTTATTGAAAAATGTAACGCAAATATGAAACACCATGTAAGTAAATAATTTAAGGAATGTTCACTTCGTGACTAGTTTGCCAAGGTTTCTACTCCCTTTTTATAATCACTTGGGTGTACTTTTCTTTTTTGTCACCTTTTTGCCATTTCAAGAATTTTTTTCTATTCATTGAAGGACATAACTATCAGCAACACTGTTTTATCCAATTTGCAACATTTTGTGAATGATATGCTTCTTCTAATATTATGGTTACCTTTTTGTGTGTTATCTTCTTCAGATAGCTTGTCTAAAGACTTCCTTTAAGTTTAAATTCTCTAGCAAGATATATGTTTGATTCTGAAATTTTAAAAAGTTGAATGCTCTAGAATTACCGTATCCTACTTATAGTAATCATTTTCTTGCATTTTAAAAATAGTTTTATCATCCAAGGGTGCATTCAAAATAAACCATAGGTTTTTTGGCTCTGTTTTTTAAAATGTATTTTAAGTGTCTTTTTATCTACAAGTCTTCTTTCCATTCTTTTTTCTTCCAGTGCGATTTATTTGTTAAAGAAAGGGCTTTGCTTCTTGTTATTTGTTCTTGTCCTGTTGTTTTGTTCCATTGTCAGATTTCGCTAAGCTTATCCAGATGGTAGACTTAACATATTTCTCTGTCCTCTGTATTTCCTGTTAAATTTCTAGTTTATGGACTTGATTGGGTCAGGCTGCATTAAAAAAAAAAAAAAAAAAAAAAACTTTCTTTGCAAGACTATTTCATAGGTGGTTTTCTCATATAAGCATTTAATGGTAAAGAAATTTCTCTAAGCACTGCTTCACTGCATCCCACAAATTTTGACATGTTTACATTTATTGAAAATATTTTCTAATTTCTCTTGTGACTTCTCTTGTGACCCATAGTGTCTTTAGAAGCATGTAGTTTAATTTCCAACTACTTGGTTTTCTACAAATATCTTTTTGTTACTGATTTCTAGTTTAATTCCTTTGTGGGCAGAGAAAATATTTTGTTATGACTACAATCATTTAAAATTTGTTGAGGTTGTTTTATGATAGAATATGGTCCATTTTGGTGAATATTCCATGTGCATTTGAAAAGAAGACAAGTTCTCTAGTTATTGGGTGGAATGTTCTATAAATGTCAAATGGGTCAAATATGTTGATAGAATTTTTTATTCTGGTCTTTTATATCAACAGTTCCCAAATTTGCCTGCACTCTGTTGAAATCACTTTTGTAAATTCCAAAAATATTCATGTCAGTATCCCACCCTAGAGACCATAATTTAATAAGTCTGGGATGTAGTCTGTTCGTTGGAGTTATTAGGAGATTCTTAGGTGATTCAAATGTGAAGGCAAGCTTGGGTCCTGGGTTCTTTATCCTTACAGATTTTCTGTATTCTTGTTTTACAAATTACAGAGGGGGGAGTGATGAACTTCCCGACTATTGTTGTAGGCTAGTTTCTTATTTCAGTTCTATCAGTTTTTGCTTCAGTGCCACTTTGTAGCACTGTTACGATTTTGCATCTTCTTAATGAACTGACCCCTTTATCTTGTTTTAATATCAATCCCCCTGATTACTAGTGAAGGTAAACATTAAAAAAAAATCTTTCTGACCACTCAGTTTTCCTCTTTTGTGAGTTGCCTGTTTATGTTATTTGAATATTTTTTTTTATCTTTGTCAGAATTCTTTACATTTTCAGAGCTTTACTATATTATTTCAGTCTGTGGCTTGCTTTTAACTTGATTTAAAATGTCTTCTCATCTATGTGTAAAACAATCAAAATTTAAAATCTTTTCCTAAGGAAGGACACTGTTTTGTCTGGTTTAACAAATCCTTCTCTACAGTGGTGTCATAAAGACATCTGTGTTTTCCTAAAAGTTTAGAGTATTTTCACATTTCACATTTACTTCATTTGGAATTTTATTTTTGGTGTGAGATCAGGATCTAATTTCATATTTTTATATGAATAGCCAATTTCACTAAAACCACCATAATTTGTCTTTTATATAGCCAATTAACAAAGTTACTGTGCCAATTTTACTACCAAGAATAATGAGTAATAGTTTTTCCCACAACCTTACCAACATTTCTTCCTTACCAGACACCTTTATTTTATACCAACTTCCAGGTACAGGAACTTGCTTTTCCAACTTTCTTTTTGTCTATTCTTGTGTTAATATCACATTTTTAAAAGTTGCTTTTAAAACAGAATTACCATATGATCTAGCAATTCCAATTCTGGATATATACCCAAAAGAACTGAAAGCAGTCTCACAGAGATATTTGCACATATCACGTTCACAGCTGCATTCATAATAGCTAAACGCAACTCAAGTGTCCACTGAAGGATGAATAGATAAACCAAATGTGGTATATACTTACAATGGAATAATATTCAGCCTTAAATAAGAAGAAATTCTAACACATGCTACAACACGGATGAACCTTGAGGATGTTATGCTAAGTTAGTCACAAAAGACAAATACTGTATGATTCCACTTACATGAGGTGCCTCAAATAGTCAAATTGATAGAGCAGAAAGTGTTGTGGTTGCCAGGGACTGGCAGTAGAGGTGAACAGGGAGTTGTTTAATGGGTATAAAATTTCAGTTCTGCAAGATGAAAAGAGTTCTGGGGATTGGCTGCAAAACAATGAGAATATACCTAACACTACTGAACTGCACACTTTAAAATGGTTATTTAAATGGTAAGTCTTTTATGTACATTTTACCCCATTTAAAACTAACAGGAAAAAACAACCCCCAAAAAACCTGTTCTTCTAGGAAAAAAAATCTGCATTTAATAGTTCTCTTAGTCTTTGGTGTTCTGCAGTTTCACCACAATGTGTCCAGGTATAGAATTCCTTATTTTAATCCTGCTCAAGAATAAGTGCTTCTTGAATCTAATTCAAATATTCCACAACCCTGAAAAATTCTTAGGTATTACTCTTTAAATACTGACCACATCCATTCTCTCTAGTCTCTCTTTTTGACACTCCTGTTAGATTTATGTTCAATCTTTCTTATTTCTCATGTATTTAGCTCCTGCATTGCATTCTAGTAAATTTTCCTCATAGTGTGTATCTTAGTTCTAGTCAAATGTATAGATCTCAAACACTGAACGGAAAAAATTCTTATCTATTCCTTAAAAAAAGTAAGGCTCTATGTTGGCAAACTGTGCTAGAAGTAAAAAGTCAAGAGACAGGTAGACATATGCCTTACTTCTACAACTCAGGAGAATGTGCCAAAGCCAAAACAATAACAAATATTCAAAGCCAGCATGCTGCTTTGTGTCAAGTGCTAGGTACCTGTGAATGGTACCCAGCCTGATTACATTACATCCCAAAGCCTGGCACACAGCATTTCACACTGCGTCTATGACCTTGAGCAGGAAATTTATTTACACTTAAGCTTCTTTCTGTGGGTTGCTGTGAGGATCAAATGGGATAAAGCGAGCAAAAGTGCTATACACTAAAGTAGTATTAAGGTATTTTCTCAATTCTGAAATATTACTACATGGTCCGGCGCACTATGGATTTTATGATAGTTTGGGGAAGATGCGGAGAGGAACAGTCCGTTAGACGTACACTTAAGAGATTTCCGATTTGGGAAATTAAAAATATGGAAAAGTCTGCTTTTAGAACTGAAGAACCAGGGTACTTTCTCTGTTATGTCCACACACGTCCTTTTCTTGAATTTGAATTTCTCTCTCGCCCAGTGTTAGGTTTTACCAACCTCCAGGTTTTACCAACCTCCTTCCTGACAGCTGTCAGAATTCTCCACACTGGATTTCTTCACCCCATTTTCACGGACCGGCTGAGACAGAGGAGCTGCCTCGCTCGGACTGGCTTTCGCAAGCTCAGCTTAGCTTCTGTACTGTCATTGGCTGTTGCTCTTCCCGGACCCGCCCACAGAGACCTCAACCCTGATTGGATGCCAGTGCCCTTTTGTTGTGGCAAAAGGTGGATCCCGAGGGTTTGAGGTAGGACGATTGGGGCGTCGTGTGGCTAATGCGCAGGCGTCCCTTCTTGAGTGAGGATTGGCTGGCGACGGGCCGGGCCGGGGCGGGACTCCAGCCTCGGCGCACGCTCTGTGGGCGGAGAGGGCGGGGTTGCCGGTGCCAGTTGGTCCGAGTGTCCAGGCCTGAGGTGTCCTCCCGATCCCTCCTCCTGCCGGCGCCTCAAACGGCAGG